AACCCCTAGTGCACGCGCCCGAGGCTACCGCCAGCACCCAGTCCATATCAGCCTAGGATTACCTTGCCTGCACGCGCCCAAGTACCTCGTTGTTGACCCACGCCTGAGACGCCCGATCTCGACGTGCCCTGCCAGCGACCGCACTAATCTGCGTGAGCCGATCAGCGCCCAACGCACTTAGTTCACAACCTGCAGCAGTGACCGACCCCAGCCGCTGCACCATCGACCGAGATGAGACCAACCGAGTCTGACCGATTCAATCTGGGTCCGGCCGAGTCAAAATGTTGAACCAAACCCAATTCGACCGGCTCGAGTCCGAAAGTCTGATTTTGGTGTTCCATTCTTGTTTCGACAACTAGATCAAAATCAAGAAAAGGCGAGATCCGTCAGCCCATCAGATTCTAGTGTTCAGACGATCTCCATCAACGAAAATCAGAACGTCTCTGAGTCGACAAAGGTTTTAAACGGTAATGTCCTAACCCTAACTATTCTGCGTCTATAAGACCCACAATTCAGTTTTGACAGATCGGAGATCCTAGAACCGAAGGAGAGAGTGCAAATTCAAACGAGCATATTGTTGACATTCGTAACAGAACCCAACACAAACTCGGTCTCTCCAAAATGATATTATGCAGTGGCGTAGCTCCCGTAATCAAATTCTTACCATCTTCACTTTCCTCATCGAGCCCATCCCAAGAGCAACAGGTAGAGTGATCTCACCCATGGAGACTAACTCCACTACATTTAACCTGGTCTACAACGTGTTTATCGAGATTCATCTGCTTATAGCAATCTCAAAACATGACATCTACTGAGCTCCTAGTGTCAATAAATATCCGATGTACGTCATATCATATGACCTCCGCTGAGATCACAACTGCATTGATATGGGACACGTGTAGGCCTCTGGCGTCCTTGGCTCTTAAGATGATCACCGGCTCTTGAGCTACCAAGCTTACCTCATCCCACTTTCCCTTATCAGCTTGAACAAGATACTTTGTAGTGTTGTTCGAGTACCTATCTTGATGTCCTCAAAAAAATGTATGAATTAAGCCATTCTTGAGTTGAGTCTCGTCTTTTTCGACCTCTCTATCATCTCTCTCTCTCTCTCTCTCTCTCTCTCTCTCTCTCTCTCTCTCTCTCTCTCCCTTTGTCTCTTTCCTCTATCACTATCCTCCCTCATTCTCTCTTGTTATTCCCTATCCTTGTGTACAAACTCCTTGAAATGACCAGCTCGAATCAACCTCTCGATCTCATCCTTGAGATGATGAAAATTATTAGTAGTGTGGTTGTAGTCCCTATGGAATCTGCACTGTAGACCTAACTTGGGCTGTGTGGGGCCCTCCTTTTTTTACCTTGGTTAGGTTATCATGTTTTCATCCATCTTCATCTCAATGGTATCCAACACCTCTACCTAGTGTGACCTAGGGGTGTGTACTTGTCGTACCTCTGCCCATCATGAACAGGTCAACCTTCGATCCTCTCTCCTACCATCCCATCTTTCATTCTTAGAGGAACCACTCTTATCCTACTGATCATCGTAAACGAACAAGGCCTCGGTTAATTACTGTGTTCTTGTAACCCGTAAGATATAAACAGGCATGTGCATGAAGTAGCTATTTGTTTGATTCACTAAAAGTGAGATTCATTCTCTTGGATCAATATTCTTGATGTTTTTAGTAATATTGTTGCATGTACGATGTGCTGATAGAATATTTACGGCCACCATGTTCGTTAATTTGATGATGTCCCCGAAGTGAGCTCATGATGGGATGTCGAATTCCAAAAACCAACGAGAGGTTATTGATCCATCTTAGGACACTTTTCGAAGCAGAGTGAAGTCCCTAGAAGGTAGGGGCTAAGATCGGAAACAAAGAATCCAATCATGCCTAAATCTTACGAATAGAAGAAAAAATCGTTATGCTTCTAATAAAAGAACAATATATAATTGGATTTCAAGCATCAGGGATCGTGAAACCACACAGATAAATCGGTTCTTTGTTCAAGATAACATCTCTGAAGCCTTCAACCACATTACCTCCGTTCGATAAAAGTGAAACCATCTGAGCCTGAGAAGTCTCACTTTGCTCTTCTCTAATTGATGTAAAGACAGTAAATCTTCAAGTCTTTTATTCCCTGCGTGTGATCAGCTTTCTTAGGTAGGGATAGCTGCTTTAATTCGTGAAAAGACCACGCTAGGGCCGAAGTGTTATAACAGGTGAGTTGTCCAATTTATGTATCAGCAAAGGCCCAAACTCCTTGTCGATTAGACACGACACGCAACAGATGATTAAGTTCCGACATAATAATAATGTGATAACTGGTGCTACTTTTGGTTAACAAGATATTAATTAATTCTTGATTATCAGTAATTGAATTAATTAGTGGACATTATATCTTAAACGTGGGGAGGTAATTCGAGTAATCATTATTGGAGTCTCGAATATAATTTGGGAGATATTGGTAAGGGAGTTTAATAATGTCTACACTAGCGGACCAAGACATTATTTAATTAATTAGCAAAACTGAGCTTGACTCAAAGTTAGGCCAATACTTAAGGAGCCCATGTCATCACCTCCTTACGATCCCTATTGTAGCTCTATAAATACATTATTAAGCTCATGGGATTGAGAAGAACACAACCCCACACGTATACGTTTGGCCACTCCTTCTCTCTCTCTCCCTAGTTCCCATAGTCGAGCTTTGTCTTTGTTTTGTTGCTCCATTGATACAAAACAAGGAGGTGTTCGAGTAATACAGTAGAAGATCCCAAGGTACTGAGACCTCGAGTCATCATCGCCGACGATCCCCGTCGACCACAGCCGCAAAACGCTGCCACCAGCTGGAGCCCACACGAAGTCGTCGACTACCACACGTGAGTCGCAGTCGTTAATCGTAGCTCGCAAGAAATCGCGCGACATATTCGCACGTCAGTGATTCACCGCTACAGACTCGCAGCGCAGCAGTCCGCTTCCGGCGAGCACCACATGCGATCCCGTTCGCCAGCTGTAGCCCCAACGTTCGCGCACTCCCGACGATCCCGTGACTGCGATACACCTGCGTTGCTTCTGGCAACCACCGTCCACGACTGCTGCAACCCGACGATTCTCTCGACGTGAAGAAAATGTCTTTAAGTCTAAAATTTTTAAGTTGTATGTTTTCAACGCAAAACCTCTGGATCCGCTGCGCGTAGGTTTATTGTTGTTATTAATTCGTGACTTGTTCATAAGTCATAACAAGTTCCTTACATATCCCAACACATAGAACCACATGGATATATATTTGTCTACATTTATAAATACCTCATGAGTATTATATATTTTTCAATGTTCACCAAAACATAATGTAATTGACTTACCACTATGAATACAAGTCATATTGTTAGAGGTTCCACTACAAGAATGTGATGAAATTCCAATAGAAAATTCCCACGGAAATTTATTTGAATGGAAGTCCAACGACAATTCCAATTCATATTCTAATGTTATTATTTCTATTAGGATTTTTCAATGGATTCCGACGAAATTACAACAATAATATTCCACTGGAATGAGTTTTGCATTGTAATTTTCGTTGGATATATTTTGACGATTTCAACATTACATTTTTTAACGGTTAAAATATTGGTGAAAATAAAAATTTCAACAAAAATTGTATATTCAAAAACTAAATTCCTGTGGTAAAATACTGTTGGAATAATAATCGTTAGAATGATTAAATTCCATCTAAATCCCAATGGAAAAACTCATTCGAACCAAACAATTCCGTTGGAATCATTTCAATGAAAGCTATGCTACTGAAATATCCGTTGAAATTTATATTAGAATATATTAACATAAGATTTTCCATTGGAATATGACATTTTTTTTTGTAGTGTTCTCCGAAAACCATATGTATTATTAATTTGAATTTTCGTATTAAGAAAAGCGTGTACCCACCTTTATCGTTTTGTTTCTATTCTTCTCTCTCTTTTTTTTTAATTTTTTTTCTTGACCTTCTTCCGGAAATAATCTCTCTGATCAGTAATTGTGTGATTGTTTCTCATCTCAACTAAAAAAACCAATCAAATTTCAAATTTAACTCAATTTTAACTCAACTTCATTATCTTCAATATTATCAATATAATTAAATAATATCAACTAATCATTAAACCAATTATTCTTACACATCACATCAACTTTAATTAATATTCATCCACTTGCATAGTTTTAACTAAACATCACTTCCAATCATTTTTTTCCTACCTTTAAATCATATCGACTTTAATTATTTTATTTTAAATATTATTTTAATATATTCACTAACAACTAATCATACCATTTTTTTTTTCAAAATTAACTACATACGGTTAAAAAAAACCAATTAAAATCTGGTTGAATTTATAAACAATCACTCCCTAAATGATTTGTGCCTTGCTTAAGAAATTAGAAAGATGGAAATATCATTCTAATCAATTGATTACCATAGATAATGTGTAGTAAGCTTAAGAAAGAGAGAAACATGTACTAAAAAACAGACATTAAGGGCAATTACTTTCGGCAGTTTATACAAAATTATAAGTCAATTCTGGCTGGCTATTACTATATTTATAATTAGCAATCATGCACCAATAATATATACTTATGAGAGCAGCACACAGCTTGAAAATGAATAGTGCTGCTAATCATCACATACACACACAAAGACGAGCAAAAGCACATTCACAACTTCTTTCACCAACCTACCCACTTCACTTAAAAAGAAAATTATGGAAAATATTGCTAATGTGTCACTTAAACACTCAACTTTAGTTAAAGAGCTCAGATAATTTACATTCAATTTATTTAATTCCTATATTAAAATTAATCTTCCTTTTTGTGGAAAAGGAGAATATAAAAAGAAAATGAAATGAAATATAACAATTTCATTTGGCCCTCACTTTCAAAGCCCTCCACTTTATTATATATATCCACATTGATAGGCCTCATTTTGAAGATCTTAATATCCCCTCAAAAAAAAGAATGAAATCCATAGATTTGTTCTGCGCCTCGCCGGCTTCGACAGCCATATGCTCCAGCATGGACCACCGAGCCGTAGCCGGGCCTGTTGACCGCCAAGAGGCACGAGCCAAAAACCGGACTAATGCTGCCCCATGTTCGTCTTCAGACAGACCTTCCCTTGATAAGCCCAGAAAGAGTTTCAGTCATAAATCAGCCAAACAACTCTTAAGACGTAAAAGCTCGGCCGACGTGGAAGATCTTGTCAGGCTTCGAGCATCCTCGAGATACTTGTTGAGCGACGACCAGTCTTTCTTGGATTCCACACAGGCCCTACTTCCCATGATGGGAAACAATTACAAGCCATTCAACAGTGATGGTTTTCGTGGTCTCAGGTCGGAGTATCCCGCCTTTAAAATTTCTCCCGCCGGAGGCCTTGCCGGAAAAATGTGTGATCATGTTAAGGATCATGATCTACACAAAAATCCTTCAAATACTCAGGTTTGATTTTTTGTAGACCTAAGAATACCATGCTTTTAGTCATCAGGATATTATTAATTTATTAATAAAATTTTTTACTGCGGTGAATGATATTTTTATGTTGTAAATCATTTTAGCTTCTTCTTTTTAATTTACCATATTTGTTTGGGTTGGTTTTTTAAGCTTATTAATTAAAATTAACTTGTTCAAAGACAGGTGGTTGAGCTGAGGGTATCAATTCATTGCAAGGGTTGTGAAGGCAAACTCAGAAAATATATATCAAGAATGGAAGGCAAGTACCCTTTTTTTCTTTTTCATTTTTTTTCCTATATATATATATATATATATATATATATTTTTATAATTTGGGGTCAAAATTGCTTCTTAATTAGAGGACAAGTACAACACTTGTATGCAAAAACTAGATAAAAAATAACTAAAATCTCCAATCAAATTATTAATATTAAATTAAGTAAAAATGTATTTATGCGCGACAAAATTTCAATAATGGTCCACAGTATTGATCATTTTCCAAAAAATGTCCATCATATAGGGAGCCATAAAAAATTGTCAACTAAGTTGTCACTTTAATCAAAACAAATATAGTGTACTAAAAATAATTGTCATTTTTAGTACACTATGTCAGCTATTATACGAGTTTTGATAAAAAAGTGGCAACTTAAAGGAACATTCTTGATGACACTCTATATAATGAATCTTTTTTGAAAATTGACCAACATAGTGTACTCAAAATGAAATTTAGCCATTTTTATGAGTACACACAATGTGTCGTCCTATACTATATTTTTCAGAGTCTTTTTTTTTTTTTCTAATTATAAATATGTATGTAAAACGCTAATTTAGATGGGTTGAGTCTATATATTTGCAATTTGCAGGAGTGACCTCATTCAGTATAGATTTGGCAACCAAAAAAGTGACCGTAACCGGTGACGTGAATCCATTAGGTGTACTGAAGAGCATATCGAAGGTTAAGAATGCCCAGTTTTGGGCATCCTCGGCTTCATCATCTTCTTCTTCTTCCACATCCTCTCCAAGAGTCGGCCTAACAAGATAGCTCATTTTCACACTCATTTAATATTTTGTTTGATGTGTCGTTGGTTATGAAAAATACAGTGTTTTTTTTTTTTTTAC